CTTCCTCTGGGATTTAGAGAGGCAGATTCTAAGAGAGATGCTCAGCAACTTAAGGTTTGGAGCAACTGCCTTAATTTTCTTTAAAATTAATCTTCTATTTGAATATGTACACAAGGTTTACAAATACCTTTGCCCATCTGTTTTGGGGAGTGGACCACACCTGGCTGTCCTTGGGGCTTACTCCTGGCAGTGCTCAGGAAACTGTCTAAGGTGTTGGGGATCGAACTTGGGTTATCCATATGCAGGACAAGCACATTAACAGCCTTCTGGTGTCTCTCTCTCTGGCCCCTGCAAAAACATTTTTATGACAGTGTCATTGAATCCTATGGAAATTAGCAAAGGTCAAATTTGAAAGTCTTCGGAGCCGTAATTGGAAAGAGCGATAGCACAGTGGGTAGGACGTTTGCCTTGCAAGCGGCCAACATGGCCGAGCCGAGTTCGATTCCTCCACCCCTCTTGGAGAGCCCGGCAAGCTACCCAGAGTATCTCACCCGCACGGTAAAGCGTGGCAAACTACTCGTGACGTATTCGATATGCCAAACACAGTAACAGTTGTCACAATGGAGACATTACTGGGCCCGCTCAAGCAAATCAATGAACAACGGGAGGACGTGAGGTGATGTGACGTGCCCAGACATAAAAGTTTGTGAAACAGTAACCTGCAAACTGAGCCCAGAAAGCTGCTTGGAAAGGGGCTTTATAAGTTGGCTTCATGGGAGCATGTAGAGACTGTTTTTAATACTAAAATAATCTGAAGTGACGGGAAATTTGTGGTCATCTAATGCATTAATTTTAGGAATAGTTCAAGTTTTGTTTATGATTCAAGAAGTGACTGAGGTCAAGCTTGTCCCACTTGCCTCGCACTGTAGTACTGTAGCGCTCTCGCACTGTCCTTCCATTGTTCATTGATTTGCTCGAATGGGCACCAGTACTGTCTCCATTGTGAGACTTATTACTGTTTTTGGTATATTGAATATGCCACGAGGAGCTTGCCAGGCTGTGACGTTTGGGCGGGATACTCTCAGTAGCTTGCCAGGCTCTCCGAGAGGGACAGAGGAATTGAACCCGGGTTGGCCATGTGCAAGGCAAACGCCCTACCCACTGAGATATTGCTCCAGCCCTGAGCTATCACTCCAGTCCTGTTCCGTTACAGACTCAGTAAATATTTTGACTGTGGAGGCAGGAACAGTCCTGGTGCATAAGTTAAATTCAGCTTTGCTTGTGTGATTACACTTGTTTTCTCTCAGAAAATTTTCACATCTAGTCTCAGTTTGTGTTTGAGTTTAATATTCCTTACAGTCACCTGTCTGAAAAACATGATCTGAACATTAGTGTTAATCCCATTTTATATGTGGATGATCTAATAGGGCTATAATATTATCCCCTTAATTGTAGAAGTTAGATGAGGCTATATTCATGGTCCTGCTGGACCAAGAAGGATAGTCTCAGGCAGGTATCACCTGGCTAGTATCAGTGACTTTCTTGAATCATGGTAGAGACCAATATGTGATAACGTAATGCCAACTACAGTGACATCAGGCCATGTCTCTTTAAATGATGGGTTTCCAGTATTCTGTATTGCCCTGAGTCCATCCAATGTTTGGGTGAGAGAGGGGTAGGCCACATCTGGTGGTGTTCAGGGCTTACTCCTGGCTCTGTACTCTGGAGATCTATAGTGATGATAGGGATTGAACTGGTGTTAGCCACATGCCTTAACCCTTATTCTATTTAGCTGGCCCCAGAAAAGATTTTGTTTTCTTTTCTATTTTTTGGGGGGGAGGGTGGGTGTAACATCCGGCATTGCTCTGAGGTTATCCTGGCTCTGCACTCAGGAATTACTCCTAGTGGTACTCAAGGGACCATATGGTATGCTGAGGATTGAAACCAGGTCTGCCAAATACAAGGCAAATGCCCGCTATACTATCACTCCGGTTCCAGATTTTGCTTTCTTTCCAGATTTGGTGTTATTATTGGCCTCATCTGGGGCACACGGAATCTGTATGGTTCTTGATTTCACCTTCAGCTTTAGCCTTTTTCCTCCTGTTCAATAATTAGCTATAGAATTCTTGCTTCAGACCTAAGATTCCCATCATTTTCTTAGCCCTTTGAATGATATAAATTGATCCTTTTATATAGACCCCACAAGTAGGTGGAAGAACCAGGATTATACAGCAGATTTACTCATGGGTGAGGCTGTTGATATGGCACCAGGGACAGTTTGCGGGTGTGATTGCCACACCGGTAAACTAGGGAGATGGGAATAGGAGTCCCATTCTTGCTCCAAACAACCTTGGAGTTTTCAGTCATGGGTCCTACATACCTGAGTTTTTCTGCAGATGTACGCATGGGTGAGACTTGTCCGAGCCTGTGGAGAGTGGCGATGAGCATGGTGGTGATTAAGTTTTGGAGGTTTTTGGCTGACAGCACTTTGTTGGGGTGGGGAGGGACTCTCACCCACCCTCTACCCTCCACCCTCTTTGAGTTGCCCCGGTGATGACATCCTGGTGCGGGTTCTGGAGGCATCTCTTAAGGCGTGTCACTGACACTTGTGGTTTAACACACACACAAAAAGGAGAGGGCCTTTAAAACTCTGGAAAAAACAGGGTCTTTTTTTTTTTTTAATTTTTATTAGTGAAACACCATGAGGTACAGTTGTAGACTTACAAATTTTTGTGCTTGGATTTCAATTATACAGTGATCAAATACCCATCCCTCCACCAGTGCCCATTTTGAGGGAAGAAAACCAGTATGAGATAGCAAGTAGACAAAAGAACTTTGCCCCTGGGTGTGGAGACATAGTATAGCACTTGCCTGGCACATGGCTGGTCCGGGTTCAATCCGTGGCATCCCATATGGTCCCCAGAACCTGAGCCCGCCAGGAATGATTTCTGAGTGCAGAGCCTGAGTACTGCTAGATATGGTCCCAAACCAAAAACCAACCCCTTCCTCCCCCCCCCCCCCCCAAAAAAAAACCAACAAAAATAAACCACCCTTTGACTTTGGTCTTTCCTTATTTGTGTCTGCCCCCTAGTGGAGGGAATCGTACATGACCGGAGACGCGAGTTTGAAAATAGGAGTTTGCACTAAAACCATCTTGATGAACTAGCTGAGTTGCAGGCCAGATTCCCTCATTTACAAACATGTGTTTCAACCTAAGTGTATAGTTCTGGGGATGGGAGGTTCAATTACAACTTCAGAGGCCAGTTTTAGAATGGCAGCGTTGCTTTTTTTTTTTTGGCCTACAATATTGAACCTGATGAGTCTAGGTTAATTTCTTAAATAGGTTATCACAACCCATGTATCATGTTTCTCATTTTTCTCATGAAACCTATCACAGGGCTTTAAGAATTGGCACTATCTTTATATGGGATCATCTCTGGGTCTCTTCATTGTTATGTGATAGCGAATTCTTTTTTCCCACCTTTTCTGTAGATGTTGGCTGCGTGCAAGGCAAACGCCCTACCGCTGTGCTATCACTCCAGCCCAGATTTGGGGGCTGGAGCGATAGCACAGCGGTAGGGCGTTCGCCTTACAAGCGGCCAATATGGCCGACCCGAGTTCGATTCCTCCGCCCCTCTCGGAGAGCCCGGCAAGCTACCGAGACTATTCGATATGCCAAACACAGTAACAACAAAGTCTCCAATGGAGACGTTACTGGGCCCGCTCGAGCAAATCGACGATCAACGGGAGGGCCTTTTTCTGTAGATGAGGCAGTAGATGATAGGCTCATGAGAGATAATCAGATGTCAGCCAGGCTAATCTGAAGGCTCAGAGTTGGAGGATCTTGTTTGGGGGTGTAGGTGTAGGTTCTTCACGTTGACCTCTCGTCAGGCTGAGTGTTCTCACCACATTGTGATACACTTCTCCCCAAATTGAGCAGTTCAAATGAGAGAATGACTCAAGAGGAACCTGCATCCTTTCTGCATTCTATATTTGCAAGTTCCTTCTACCACATTCAATTCATTAAAAATAAGTGTCTCATGTTGAAGGGGAGGGGAATTATGCTCTATTTTTGAGCAAGGGTGTCAGAGAATTGGTGGACATGAAAAACCACAATCTCTGCTAGGATATGTGAACATGCCTGTGCATGTGAATACACATGTGTATGTGAATGTGCATAGATAAAGTTCAGGGTGAATTAAATGCAGAGCTCTCAGACTTGTTCTTATTTGTCTAGTGGTAAATTTTACAATTTTTTGTTTCTCTGAGACTTTGCTTCTTTTCCTTTTTTTTTTTCTGCTGAGGAGCCAGAAGGGAAATTATACAATTGCTTGCTTTCACTTTTATATTGTATTAGTTGATGATAAAGTCTTCAGGGTAAAAAGTTTAAAATTTTCAATTGAACGGATGAGTCTTTGAACTATTTGTTACTATCTCTATATTGAAAGATCCCGCATAGTATAGAGAACTAAGAATTTTTAAGAAACAGTAATATGGTAGTTTCAGTTATTTTATTATTTTTGAATCTCTCTCTGATCTAAACTGGCACAATATAGAGCCCCTGTATTCTTTGGGAATTCTGTCTGTTCCAATCACTACTGTGTTGTTTGGCTTGAGGGTGAATGCAGTGGTAACACAGGAAAAGGCTCAGCCAAAGTGGAAGACAGGTGGGAACATGGAAACAAATCCAGAGAAGTGGTCTAGTAGTTGGGTTTATTTTAAGAGAGAGCCTTTTGGGAAAACCCCAACTTTGTTTCTATTGAAGAGAAAAAGTTCTTTCCTTGCTTCAAACCCATTTGAAGTGGGCTCAGTCTGTGCCTGTACCTACAGGGGAGGAAGTGTGGCAGGGAGAGACCCTGGGATACATGTAAGTTATGGGTACGTATCCTTAGGAGGATACGAGGCTGATTCCCTCCACCTAGGTGGCAGGTAAGTCGTCAAGACTTCAAACTAGAACACAGAAGCAGAACCTGAGAAGTGATGATCAAACCTTGTTGAGGATTTGTGCAAACTTTTCTCACTCTTGCGTCTGCATGTCTGTATGTTTGTGTTTTCCACAGAGTTTCTTCAGGATACCTTCACTTCCCTGGGCTATAAGGTCTCCCATTTTGTCTGTCACAATGCACAACAGATAAAGAATACTCTTCAGGAAGTGGCCTGGATGCCTCAACACAGAGACTATGACAGTTTTGTATGTGTCCTGGTGAGCCAAGGAGACTTCCACAATGTGTTTGGCAAGGATGAGACTTCCTCGGGGTTACCTTTGGATCAGATCAAGAGGATCTTCATGGCAGATGCATGCCCATCCCTCTTAGGGAAGCCAAAGATCTTTTTTATTCAGAACTATCTGGTGTCACAGGGCCACCATGTCAACAGCAGCTCCCTGGAGGTAGATGGACCATCTGTGAGAGTTGTGGACTCCAGCGCCCAGCACTCCAACCTGGTTCACCGAGAAGCTGACTTCTTCTGGAGCGTGTGCAGAGCAGATGTGTTTTTGCTGAAGCAGCCCTCTGGCTCACGGTCGCTGTACCTGCAGAACCTCTCCCAGAAGCTGAGGGACAAAAAGTGAGCATGGCCAGGCTGGGACTACTTATTTCTTTACCCATCTCCAAGCTGATGATCACCATTAGGCCATGTCCTCTTGAGGGGAGAGAGGGGTTTTCCTTCCCTGTGGGACTACCTTAGGAGTGGGACCTAGACCTTGCATGCTTCATGGATTTTTTTTTTTTTTGCCTTTGGATCACTTATTAGCTTGTGCTCAAGAGCTTTTCCCAGATTAGGGAGTTTTTTTCATTCTTTCCTTATAACAAAAGAAACATATATTACTTTTTAAAAAATTTTTTAAAATTTTATTTGGGGGGCCTCCCAAATGGGGCTCAGGAGTCCTGGTGACCCCACCAGCAGGTCCTAGCTCAAGCAGGCTGGAACCTCAATGCAAATCTGCATGGAGTGGGCGCAAGTCTTGGCCAGCCAGGCTGAGGATGTGATGTGATGCTGCTTGGGTCCTCTGGTGCCAGGGCTTCCCAGGCTACCCCAGCAATGCTTGGGAATCTCCAGAGCTGCACCATGAAACTGAGGGACCATGTGGTACCAGGGATCCAACCCACTTTAGGCACGTGCTAACCATGCACCCTAATTGCTGTACTATCAATGGACCCCACAACATATCTTTTTTGTTTTGTTTTATGTTTTTGGGTCTCACCCAACAGTGCTCAGGGTTTACTCCTGGCTCTTTGTTCAGGGATTACTCCTGGCAGGCTCAAGGGACCATTTACGGTTTGGTATGCTGGGGATTGAACCTGCGTCAGCTGTGTGTAAGGCAGGTGCCCTACCCTTTGGAATATCTCTCCAGCCCCAATCTGTATTTCTTAGTTAATAAAACTTTGATGGGGCTGGAGACAAGGGTTGCAACACATGCCAGGTATGAATAGGACCCTGGGGTCAAGCTCCGGCACCATGTGGCCACTCCAAGCACTGCCAGGTGAAGCCCTGGTGGTCTCCAGTACCTCTGGGGAAGTCCAAATCAAAACAAAGAAAAATAAAAAACAAAATAATTAAGCCTCTGAAATATTGATGCCAGAAGTAAAAAATTAGTTATAATCCTGCTTATTAGAAACAATCCTCTGTTAGCTCTTAATGTGTTACTCTCCATATATATATATATGTATTTGTGTATATATAATTTTTGAATAGAGACACATTATAGATAAACATAAATATAGATGTAGACCACATAAGGCGTGTGCGCGCACACACACACACACACACACACACACACACACACACTGTCCTCCTGTTGTTCATCGACTTGCTCGAGCGGGCCCAGCAACATCTCCATTTTTGAGACTTTGTTGTTACTGTGTTTGGCATATTGAATACGTCACGGGTACCTTGTCAGGCTCTGCCGTGCGGGCGAGATACTCCCGGTAGCTTGCTGGGCTCTCCGAGAGGGGCGGAGGAATCGAACCCGGCTCGGCCAGGCTGACTGCGTGCAAGGCAAACGCCCTACCTGCTGTGCTATCGCTCCAGCCCATAAGGCACATATGTATCTTTACTTTTTTTATTTTTTTATTTTTTGCTCTTTGGATCTCACCCAGCGATGTAACCTCACAGGGGTTACTCCTGACTTTGCATTCAGGAATTACTCCTGGCGGTGCTTGGGGGACCATATGGGATGCTGGCCACATGCAAGGCAAACGCCCTACCCGCTGTGCTATCGCTCCAGCCCATATGTGTCTTTTAATGTATGTATATATAATTGTATATAACCATAGCTGTATACATTATATACATTTCTAATCTGTATAGAGTAATCATATCTGAATGTAGTTTTTAAAGCCAAAATAGAACAATCATCTATTCTTACTTTATACATTTTTCTTAGTTTGTGTAACAGTAGTACATTCTTTCATGTGAGTTATATTTTCTTTTTTGTTTTGGAGCCACACTGGCAGTGTTCAGGGGTTACTCCTGGCTCTGCACTCAGGAATTACTCCTGGTGGTGCTTGGGGGATCAACCATATGGGATGCGAGGGTCAAACCCGAGTTGGCCGTGTGCTAGGCAAGTGCCTTATCCACTGTCAATTGTATTCTCTCTCTGGCCCCAGCAGGAATACTTTTCTAAGGGAAATACTGGTGACCTGATTTTCAGGAAGTCACAGTGGACTCCTGGGGCAATAGGCACAAAGGGCTGGAGCGTATTCCTGACATCCACAGGGCCCTGGCTTCCACCCCCAGCACTGCATGGCTTCCCAGATAGTGCTGGATGTAACCCCAGTGGCTCCCAGCATTGCTAGGGACACCAAAAAAAAAAAAGGGTTCATTTTCCATTTTTAGTTGTCCTCTAATTATAACTGCAGTGTTTTGGGCCAGTTCGAACAGGTGTTCTGCTCTAGCTCTGGGACTCCAGGATTAAAGCTCATGGTCTATAATCCCTGAACCCTAAGAGGTGGCTCTGCAGGAAAGGGCGGGGTGGTAGGGCCAACTCAGCCTTCAAGGTTGCTGCTTCATATGGCAGTGATCTTGGTCTTCTCCATCCACCTCAGTTGCTTTGGAGATCCAAAGCTTCTGGCTGGTGTGTTCTGAGCATAAAACTCAGTTACCACTTGAGTGAAAGATCTGAGGTCATTGGCCCAGAGCGCTCTAAGCCAGTTTGGATCACTAAGCCATTGAGAGAGCATTTTTACAGAAACAATTTCAAAGCACTTTTGCCTCTTTGGCAATCTGTCTCATTTGATATTTGCATGACATTAATTTTTGCATTCTCGTTTCCTCCAGAAAATGCCCCCTCGTTGATCTTCATATTGACCTCAACTGCAGCATGTATCACTGGAACAGCAAAGTGTCTGAAAAGGAGAAGTACTATGTCTATCTGCAGCACACGCTGAGAAAGGAACTCATTCTCTCTTCCATACTGAAGCCTTCAGAAAGCCCTCACTTCTTTCAATAAAACAAGCTCTACTTCTAAGGGTGATTTAATTATCACATTACTAAGGAGTGTCAGGGGATTTTAACATAGCACTTGTCCTCTGAAGCAGAACCCTGTGCTGATGATTACAGATGGAAACCAGGAAATCACATGAGAGGGATCTTAATTAGCCTGGTCCCCTTTCTCTGTCATGTGTGGGCTAGGAAGCAAGTGTTCCCATGGACTCTGCTTAATTTATCCAGGATAGCACTCAGCTTTTGGGCTGAAAGCACACCACTTTTGCCAATGTGTGGGAAAAGTTACTAAGCTTTCAGGTTTAAGTCTCAGTCATACAATGATCAAACACCTTTCCCTTCACCAGTACTCATTTTTCACCACCAAGAACCCCAGTATACCCCCCTCCCACCCCTCCCAATGCCTGTGAGGCAGATGATTTGCACTTCACTCTTCTCTATATTGATTATATCCATTGTTTTGACAAAAAATGCACCATTATTGTTTAGAATTCCCCCCCCCCCCCCCAACAATCAGAATTGCTGAAAAGGCATTGTGAAATACTTTGTTCTATAGCTGGTTATGAGAATCAAAATCTTGCGTGGCTGCAATAGTGGAGTCGCGATTTTGGATTTCTGCAAAGAGCCAGATAATAACGAAATTGGTTTCTGTGCGTCTGGTATTATGGCTGTGCCGGAGAGCCACTTGTGGGGGGCAACTTGTGACCTCAGTAGGCCGTGAAGGACGAGCCGGTACTGCCCCCCTTCCCATGAGACTGCAGTTGCCCCATCAACGCCAGCTCATACCTGGCTTTCCTCTAAGATCTGAGGCAGCGGCCACCTTGCTGCCGGGTGGGCGGGGGGGTGGGGAGGTGGAAGGGACACCCTTTCCCTCCCAGGGAGGGATGGCACTGTAGTTTAATGCGTGGTCCATTCACTTTTCTGCCGCAAGTTGCCAGGCTCTGGATTAAGTCCTTTTGCCTCTGGAGCCATGGTCATGCTGGAGAGCCGCTCGTGGGGGGCAACTCATGATCTCAGTAGGGCGTGAAGGACGAGCCGGTACCACCCCCCTTTCCATGAGACTGCAGTTGCCCCATCAACGCCGGCTCATACCTGGTTTTTCAATAAGCTCTGAGGCGGCAGCCACCTTGCTGCTGGGGGTGGTGGGGAAGGCAGAAGGGATCAACACCCTTTCCCTTCCTGGGAGGCATGGCACTGTAGTTTAACGCATGGTCCATTCACTTTTCTGCCTCAAGCTGCCGGGCTATGGATTAAGTCCTTTTGCCTCTGGAGCCCTGGTCTTATCAGAGAGCCACTCATGGGGGACAACTTGTGACCTTTGTAGGGTGTGAAGGACGAACCGGTACCGTGCCCCTTCCCATGAGACTGCAGTTGCCCCATCACCACTGGCTCATACCTGGCTTTTCAATAAGCTCTGAGGTGGTGACCACCTTGTATGTGGTCCAGATGCATTTCTGCCAAAGCCGCTGGGTTTAGAGATTTGTTTCCAAGTCTCTGGGATCATGGCCATTAATTAGCTTGATCAGGAGCCAGAGAGACCATTTGTAGGCAGCGACTCAGGATCTCGCTGGGATGGGGAGGAAAGGGCCGGTTCCACCCCCATCTGGTCAGGCCCTGCGTGTTTCATCACTGCAGGCCCAAACCTGACTGTCCAGTGTCCTCTGGAGGATGGTGGTCACCAGGCTACCAGGAGGAACAGGCCAAGGCACGAAACCTATTCCCACCTGGAGTGGCCCAGCACCAGTAACCTACTGCAGGAACAGGATGCATTTCTGCCAAAAACCTTTGGGTTCCAAGATTTGTTTCTGAGTCTCTGGGATCATGGCCGTTAAGCAGTTCGATCAGGAACCAGAGAGGCCATACCTCCAATTATATAGCTGAGCAGGAGGTGGTTTGTGGGTGTGTCTCCCACATACCTAACTTTTGACCATTTACTTTCTTGGTAAACTTTGCCCCAAGTTTTTGGGGTCTGGCCAAAGGTACAGAAGCAATTTTGGGGTATCTGAAAGTCTGACGGTGCCATCAGGCTGCTGATGCACTAGCCTCACAGGTACAGGTTGATCTGCTGGCAGCACCATACCCCCTACACACATTCTTTTTGATTATTTTTTTGGGGGGCCACATCTGGCAATGCTCAGAGGCTACTCCTAGCTCTGCACTCAGGAATCATTCTTGGCAGTGGTTGTGGAACCATACAGGATGTGGGGGATTGAACGCAGGTCTGCTGTGTGCAAGGCAAGCATCTTACCTGCTGTACCATCTCCTGGACACATTCTTTTCAATTACTCCTGCAAAATTAACTGCATATACTAAGAACCACAGATTAACCTAACTTGCCATGAGACAGGTAGTGTGGCCTGAAAAATAATTCAGAGTTGAACACCTCATGTAACTAGGCACAGTCACTCTAAAGTGAAAACAACTCAAATGTTCTTCAACAGATAAATGATTAGTCAAGTGTGTAAACACGCAAAGAGGATAGGCAAAGGAACAGCAGCAGCCTATTTCTCCCGCCGCCTGCGTTCGGTAGTCTCAGGCCGTTTCCCCACTCCAGGGAGATTGATGGTGATGGTCAGGTGAAAGAAGGAAACGAGGGCCAGGCTGGTTGGTCTTAGCAGCAGTTTATTACATGGAAGAAGTGTATGGCATAGAGGCCCCAGGATCTCTCAAACACGTGCTCACCATTCTCTCAGACCTGTCTCTTCGGTTCTCTCAGCACATCTTCCCAGGTTCTCTAATGCACGTGTTCCCCAGATTCTCTCAGCCTATGTTCCCCATTCTCTCAGGCACATGTTCCCCGAGAGCCCTGAAATCTCCCTTATATAGATCATGGTACCTCTAAAGGGCGCAAGACAGTGATGTCATCAAAAGGAGTTAATAGAAAGAACACTGAGGTGGCAAACATACATTGTTTCTTTACATCTGCAGGCCAATAATTTTGGTCTCTGGAAAGAAGATACAAAACCAAGACTGAAACCTTTCACAAGCACTTTCACTTGGATTTGCATCCCAAAGACCAGTCAGCTAGAGCTTGGAATCTACATCCCCAAAACAAGTATCATAGCTTTGTATCCCAAAGACTAGCCTTCCTGGAGTCAGGAATCTACATCCCAAAGATCAGGCCAAGCTAGCATCTGAGATTACTGAGAGAAAAGGGAAACTGCCTCTTACAATATACTGAAATTATTTACTGAAGGCAGTTTGAAGGGAAGAATTGTTCAGTCTCATCCAAGCTAGTCAGGACACATGGGAAAGCTGCTTCTAGGACAGATTCTCATTTAGCAGATCAACTCACCCTAGAACAGAATTCCCTGGGTGTGTTTCACCTCTCCTTGTCTGACCAACATATAGGCATACATAATATAAATCATTTTGTATGGACACAGTAAGAAATACTTTAAGCTTATAGAATTGCTCTCCTAGGACCATCTCGATCTCAGACTGCAGTGCTCAGGCCAGATATCTTTCCTAGTCCTAGCAGGGTCCTACTCTCGTCGTTACTTTTGTATCATGACAGCATTTGCCTATGATCAAACTCAACCTATAGTTAAGAATCGTGGCACCTTGACCTGCCCCATCTCCATGTCAGGGTAGCACATAACTTACCGGCTTGCCCTGGTTCCATCCAGTCCCTTGTCGGGACCCTGATTTTGGGGGCTCTAGGAAGGAGGGCAACTGAGGCTTAAGTTGAGAAAGCAGATGCCCGAGAGTGAATAATATTCAAAGCCAATTAACTCCTATGTTACAAAGCATAATATTAATTGTCTTCTTGTATCTATACAAAAAGGACATTGCATTAAAGTAAACTATTCAAAAGACATAAGGAGAGGAGAAAGGCCAATATTAACTTACAGTATAAGTTCAGTATCCTAGAAGGATGAGACCCTACAAATAAACAGATTCTGATTAGGGGAAAAAGCTGATTAACTGTTTGAGGAAGAGAGCATAGAAGTGGTTACAAACAAACAAAGGAATGGGAGTGACTCGGGAGCACTGTGATGGGTGCAACCTGATAAACCTAAGGTCCTTGTACTTCAACAGTCAAGTGTGGTCTCTTGGCTAATGAACAATTATCCTCCATTAGAAGGAAGTACTGATAATATCACAAAGTGGATAAACCCTATGCATTATAGAAAATAAGATGTCAGATGCAAAAAGTCTCATATTGTGTCACTTGTGGGATTCACACCCACAAACCACCTCCAGCTCAGCTATACAAGCTCATTTATTGGCCTTATTTCAGAGATCCATAAATCTCGAAAGAAATCAAAAGCCACAGTTAGAGCCAGCAGCACCGTGCCTTGGGAGGGCAGGCGTGCCCTGCAGGGCATATGCCAATAGTTTATTTTTCTGGAGAAGATAGAAACAAGAACTAAGCTGCTCGCTGCAGAGATGCCTCCAGACTTTAAGCCAGGGAGACTTCACCCGGGTGACTCAGACAGGTAGGCGTGGCCCCAAAGCCAAAACCAAAAACTTTTTTTTTTTTTGTGATTGACTGTCCTTTTTACAGTGGCACATCCTGTAAACTAGACAGTGCAGCAAGATGTGGAAGAATTACTCCATTTAAACATGATATCCTGAGATGATACCTTATTGGTAAGTTCAGTGATGTGTTGGTAAGTGTAAGGGATTTGGGTATGGAGAGAGAGAGGAAAAAGGAGAGAGGAGAGAGAAAAGAAGGAAGGAAGGAAGGAAGGAAGGAAGGAAGGAGAGATGGAGAGACTGGAACTTCGTATTGAAGAATCTCAATTTTTCCCCAATTTTGGGGGTGGCACCATGATTACAATAAAAAATGCATTTTTAGGCATCAAGCTCTACACTCACGACCAAAATTGCAGTTTCCCTGCACCTATGTCTCAAGGTCCCTCCCAGTTTACCTACTTCACCCCTTTGGCAAACTCACTTACATAGGCAGAATCTAAATTGATTCTATTCTGCAGTATGATTTAGGGCCCCTGGGGTACATTACCAGATGTGGTATTGTTGAGTTGTATGGGAGCTCAATTTCGAATTTTTTGAGAAAT